CCTTTGTGGGGGAGAACGCGCTTAGAGCTGTGCCCCGGTGTCTCTCCTGGGGGCTCCCCGATGCACACATTCCACTCTCGGCACTTCTGCTCCCTCTTGTTTTGAGAAGAAAACCAAGAAAGATGTGTTTTTCACCCAGTTCGCGTTTCCGTCCTTGTAAACTGCCATCCTCTGCTGCAGAAGAGCTGTTGACCCTTCTGGCAGAGCTGCAAGTTAGCCCCAAGACACGGCTTCACGGTGGCAGCTGGACGGACTCGTGGACCGTCCTCTGGGGACAGAAGGCACAGAAGGTGGTTCCAAGTCACACGGCTCATGTGACTGAGCTCAGCCCACAAGCATCCCGACTTCTGGCCGAGCATGTCCTCCAGGCCCTGGGAAGTCTCTCGCGGGCCATGGGAGTGGGGACAGCAGGGGACCTGCTCCACGTGGGCAGACCGTGCTGCCCTGCAGACGACTGCCCTGGGCACAGCGCCCCCCCCCCTTTCCTGGACGTGTCCCCACGTTCCCCCAAGGGGAACTGTCTTGGTTTAAACACCACAGGGGTGACCACGGACACTGCCCAGCAAATTCAAAGTCACCCCATGATCCAAATACGGGGCAGGTATGACTTTGGGGAGCAACAGAGGCTCAAGCGTGGCCCCCTCACAACGGCCACATTGCCCCGTGCATCTTAGAACGAGCAGAACCTGCTGCGGGAAGCGAGCTGCCGGGGGCCCTGGGAAGGCGGCCGGGGCAGGGACCAGGGCTCCTGTGACCCAGGGGCGGGCGGCCCTGTCCTGCTGTACCGTGCAGGCCTCTCTGACCCGGCCCCTCCCCTGTGAAGTCAGCACCCCCAACAGGAGGCGGCCTGGCCCCGTGTGGGATTCTGGGTGTGGGAGCCGCCAGGCAATTCATTTTCCACCCGTTCACTGAGTGACTACTGTGCTCCAGGCACCGTCTCCGTGCTGAGAGTACGGCAGAGAGTGAAGCGACTTCCTGTCCTCGGGCAGCTTCCATTGAGGCGGAGGGTGAGGGGATGGCATGAGGCAGGCAGGTGGAAGGTGCTGCGGAGAAGACGCCAGGGTAGAGGGGCCCTGGCTGAGGGTGACGAGGGTCCTCCTTCCAGAGTGTGGGTGACAAGGGTCCGCGTTTCAGAGTGCGGGTAATAAGGGTCCGCATTCCACACGGGCCGAGACGTCTCACTGAAAGGGTGGTGTTATTCCTGAGCAAAGACTCGCAGGGCACAGGGCACAGACATGAGGTTCCCCTAGGGGAGCTCCTCCAGCACGGGGCACAGCTCGTGCAAAGGCCCCACACGGGGACACGCTGGTGTCTGAGAGCAGCCGCAGGGAGGCCGTATGGCTGCCGAGAGTGGTGGGGATTCTGCATTAGTGAGACAGCAGTGGGCGCCCAGGACAGGACGGCGGCTGTTTCTATGCAGCTGGCACGCATGCCCGCGGGCACCACCAGGAGGGAAACCTCCCACAGCCACACAGAGGGGCGGCCCCGGGGGCAGGTGCAACTGTGCTTCGACTGAGCTGCCTTTGTCTGGCAAGAGCTCGGCTTTACTGCCACGAGACCGTCCCAGATGCCCAGATGCCCCTCCCCACCCGGCTTGCCCTCTCTCTCTCAGTCCCCCTGCTTCGGGTGCCTGGGGCGGCAGGTGACGGCAGGATGCGACCCAGGATCCTCCAGGGTGGCCGCGGGCGTCGCCAGCCAAGCTCCTGAGCGTCAGCTTCCCGCATCCAGCGAGGGACCAGCGTAGGAGGGCAGCGCCTGGAGCAGGGCAGGCCCGTTCAGGAGGCTGCAGGGTCCCTGGCAGGGAGCCGTCACAGAGCGCGTGCTCCCTGCACGAAGGCGGAGAGAGGTCAAGAACGCTGCCGTCAGCCTTCTGACTCGTGGGTAAGAACAGGCTTCATGGTTCGCACCTGCCCGTCTCTGAGCGCAGGACCCACGCGTCTTGCAGCCCCCTGTCCTCCAGAGCGTGCTACGGAATGCTCTTCCGGAGCTGTAACGAGGCTGCCAACGCCTCGATCTCTTACGCCTGGGCACTTACTAGTTTTCCTGCCGCGTGCACCTAATTCAGATTCTGTCCGTCGCCAAATGGCAGCGGTAAAGTCAGGAGGCCAGTGGCCCAGAGGCCGCGGGGTGCCAACGGCTGGCCCGGGCGAAAAGCTGAGTGCGCGTTCGTTCACACGGAGGGAAACCACTTCCAGCCAGTCACGTGCCCGTGCTTCCTCTGGAGCCGTCCGACCAGGGCGGACAGACGGCGCCCGCACCCCCCTTCCCCTGGGTCCGCACGTGCTTTTGACCTGCCCGTATTTGAAAAAGGCTGGCCGATCCTTTACTATTCGTCCTAACTCGTTGATAAATATATACCATTTACCTGTTTCTGAACGGGGACTGAACCTTCTGAATACTGAAATTGATCTGAACATCATATTTTGGAATTACTTTCTTCTACTTGCAATTTTAAAAATCTGGTTGTGGAAATTTTGTAACGTAATGCACCTCAGAGGTTATGGTCGTGCCACAGTGAATCGTCGCTCTGACATGCGTGCCCTTGACCCCAGACTGAGCGTGGGGATGCTCTCTTTACTCTCCTACCCGTGATCTGCACCTTAGACCGTTCCTACAGCCTATGGGCTTGTGAGGTGGGCATTTTAGAAAAGATCAGTTTTTCACGGTAACTCTAATGGTAACTGTTAGAGCCTCTTTTCTCATTAAATGATCCAAACTTGTCAACAGTAATGATCTGAACTCTGTGGTAAAAAAATTAATCAAATTGCCCTTAGTTGGTTTTTGCAATAAATTATTAACATAAATTCATACCTTTGCTGAAATACTAACTGAACTTTAAGTGATTATAAATACCATCTTTTTCCATTAGTAAAAACTATTAGTAATTTTTATTTATTTTTATGTATTTATTTTTAAAATTTTTTAATGTTTATTTTTGAGAGCGAGAGAGAGAGAGCAAGGGAGGGGCAGAGAGAAAGAGAGGGAGACACAGAATCCGAAGCAGGCTCCAGGCTCTAAGCTGTCAGCACAGAGCCTGATGTGGGGCTCGAACTCACGAGCTGTGAGATCATGACCTGAACCAAAGTTGTTTGCTTAACTGACTGAGCCAGCCAGGCTCCCCAATAATTTTTTATTTTAAAAAGTTAATATTTTTTAATTTTAAGTACAGAGTATACTTAATTTTAAGTAAGTACCACCTTTACGACAAGAGAGACATCCTCCATTTTGTCAAGACTTTGTGTAGGTCTTACGTATTTGGATGAAATTTTGGATTAAGTTCTCTTTGTGAAATTAACTGAGATTATTAAAAAAAAATTTTATCAGCATCATTACACCACCTAACTAAAAAATAATCTTTGAAGGATTCTTGAAAAATAATCTTTCTTTTAGAATAAGCATTATAACAATACTGTAAAGAGTGTTTTGTGCAGTAAAAAAAACCAACAACAAAAAAAACCCAAAAAAGGCCAGCCAATACTAGTATTATCCAGACCCTTGGAATTCTTGGCATCTGTTAACTAGGATGTGACAATGTGGTTTCCCCTATGACCACAATTAACTTCTTAGCCCTAAAGATGACCACTCACCTACAGACCCGGTCCCGTCAATGATGGCGGTCACGGTGGCGAGGGCGTGGGAGTTTCCTTTGAGACTTTTGTGCGTGCCCTAGACGAGAGGGAAAAACAGATGTGAGGCCCATCTCAGCTGCATCAGTGAGAAACCAGCCTGCCCCTCCTTACGACAATTTACCCAATTTTCGAAGCAATTCAAAATGTGGGGCGTCTTCCATCAGAAAAATCTAAAATCTAGTCCGATCCAAACTTACTTTGGAAAAATACACAAAGTTTAAGGGTTTTCAACAGTAAGACACCATCAGAGATATCTGTCCAAACATATTCTGGTTGAGAGAACTCTCAGAATTCTTCAATCAGCAACTATTTCAATCAGCAACTATTTTACTCAGCACACCACACCTGCCAACGTGGGAAAGAAGGACACAGACTTGTCCCTACCCCGGAGGGGGCCAGCATCAACGCCCATGTCCATGTTCCCGCGAGGGGCCTTGTGTGACACGTGCCGGTGGCTCTGCAGTACTGAAAACCCAACCCGGGTAATGGCAAATGCCAGGAAGGATGGGGAAGAGGGCAGGACCCAAGACACCAGTGTGACGGTCGCCAAGTCCTAAATGACAAACTGAGAGGAGCTTTGGTTTTCAAAAAGCAATACATACAAGGCTGGGGGGAGGGGGGAGCATAAACCGAGGACAGTAAAAGAAAAGTAACTGATTGGGGGAAAAAAGTGCCTGGAAACCTAAAATGACACAAACCAAAGCCTGTAAAAACAGATGCTTGTGAGCGTGTGCACAGCAATATATAAATAAAGCACACACACAAAGTGATAATCACCCATAACTCATGTTTTCTGGAGTCTGGAGTCCCTGCTCTGTCCTTCCTCTGATCCCACAGAGCAGATGACTGTTACTTGTCTGCTGTGGCCCCTCCCAGCATCTTCTGTGCCCCATGCAGGCAGGAGCACAAAGGGGGGCCTGATGTTGGAGGGCCTGCCGCCTGGTGGGACTCCCCAGAGCCCTTCCTCTGCCTCTCTGCTGACCCGATGGGGCCTCTGGTTGTCCCAGGAGCGGAAGGGCCTGAGGGGCCGAGGACAGCGCTCTGAGCCGATGGGCAGGGTGAGTGTCAGGCAGACACGGGAGAGGAGGGGAAGGGGGCGGGCATGGGGTCTGCCTGGGCATGGGGTCCGTGTCCTCGGGGGGCCTGCCATGGCCTCCAAGCAAGAGAAGGAGCGAGTGGCTGGTGAGCTCCGGGTCTGACTCTACGAGGACTGGACAGAAATGCAGAAGAGAAGCAGGGTCACTGGAGACAGGAAAGTTCCAGGGGCCTCAGGGGCCCGTGGGGGAGGGTTCACCGGGCCAGACGCCCAGAAGGCCGGCCATCCTGCCCACAAGTCTACAGGCCGCTTCTGGGTTGCTGCTTATGGTTTTGCTTGAGAAAAGTCTTGGGTGCACGTTAGTTTTGCCAAGACGGCACACGGGCCGCGTGCCCTGTGCCCGCTTTCCCTGGGTCACCGCCTTATATGGCTTGCTGTCGCTGCCACAGTCAGGAGCCCAGCACTGACGCGTTATGTTTACCTAACCCAAGGACTTTCATCTAACGTCTCCTTTGACCTCGTTCTGTGTGGGACACCACATGACTCAGCCGTCACGCCTCCCAGGGCTCCTCCTGCCCGGCAATTCGGCCCACCTTCCTGGGTTCTGACCCCGACAGCAAAGTGCCCTCTGCTGGCGTGTGCGGGACGTTTCCCTCCTGAGGAGCCTGGGAGCGGGTTTGGGGAGGGTGGTCTCAGAGGTGAAGTGACATCTTCACAACACGTGTCCAGGGTGCAGGCCGTCACGCGCCCTGTCACTGTTGGCACTGACCTTGGTCCCCTGGCGGGGCCGTCTGTCAGGTCCCTCCCTGTAGCTATGACGTCACCGTACACAGCCCGCACCTAAGGACAGAGAGGGCGCTCCCCTCTCGGAGGACAGGGTATCCATAGAAACTCTTGTCTGCGGGGGATTTGACTCTTCTCTCTTGTTTATTTAAGAAACAACTTTTTAAAGAGGATCTTGTATCTTGGTGCAGGTGTCGGTGCCCGCTACGGACAGTGTGGAATGTCCCTCGTGTCAGGCGCATGAGGGTGACCCGCCCCCACTGGGTCTCTACGGGCATGATCAGGAGTCCGAGGTCACCTTGTCAGCAGCCCCCTCCCTCCAGGAAGGACAGGTGAGTTGTTCCTGTGGACTCTAAGGCCCAGGTGGCTCCCCCCTCTCCACGGCACTGGCATTTCTCGCCGCGTGCGTGAACGCGGGCTTGCTTCCTCTCTGGAACAGGTCCTCTGGGGCTCAGGTCCCCGTCCGGATTGGCTCTGCGGAGACTAGCAGAGGGCCAGGCACAGGGGGCCGGGTGAAAGGAGGGGCCGACCCCAGTGCACCTCAGATCTGGGCCCTGGGGGCGGGCTCAGGGGTGCATGGTCACCAGTCCCCGGGGTTAAGCAAGGGTAGCACAGAGGATCGAGCCAGCCGGACTGCTGCCTTCTGACCTCGGGCCTCAGACGGGCCTCTTAAACTCGCTCGACACCCTCGTTGATGGAACGGGGGCAGCACCTCCCTGTATCTGCTTCAGGAGACTCTCAGAAGCATATGTATCAGTCACGGGCAAAAAGCCCCGTCTCTAAAGACACCGTTTTACTAACAGAGACCGTCTCTGACCAGCACCCGCCCCCGCCCTGCACCGAGACCGCGGCCACTCACCAGGTCGGCGGACACGGCGGTCGTGATCAGGGCGTATGGCCCGCTGACCAGGGCCCCACTGAGCAGCAGCATGGCTGTGGGAACCAGAAACCAGAAGGAGGGATTCAGCAGCGGAATGGTGCCCTCTGGGAGAGCCCCCACGGTCTCGGCAGCCCCCGGGTGAGCGCCCTGGTGTCACGCGCGGGTCTGGCCTGAGCGCGATGTGGGCGGGTGCTAGGAAGGAGGCCCGCACGCCTGGGGCGCGGTGACTGCCGACTGCTGGGGCCAGCGTGGTGAGCTTCTTCCTTTAAACCTGCCCCAGGTACGCCTGTAAGTCCCAATCACAGGACCTGCTGCTCCGTTTCCTCGACCCTCAACTGGCGGCGACTGTTGAGAGCCTGGAGGGACCAGAAGCCCGGTGTCCCGAGTACGGATGTGCCGGGGGTGTGCAAATGCTCCCTGTGGTCAGTGCCGGCTGGCGCTAACCCCAGCCTTGGCCTGCTTTGCAGTGGGAGGGTGTCTGTCTGTCTGTCTGTCTCTCTCTGTGCCCGCAGCTGTGGATGGCTGCCCCCGAGGGACACCCGGACACCCAGAGCCACCGAGCTCCCACGGGCAGGGTAACGTGCTTACTTCTAAAAGGCACGCTTTCTAAACCGTCCTCCAGGCTCACTTTTCCAAATTAGCCACTGGTTACCACTCCTCTGTGCAGAAGCTTCTGGACCAGTGGGTCACGGGAAACCCACAGCTCCTCGTGTCAGCAATCTGACTTCTGGATGACTTCTAACGGGATCACACACAGCCTGCCTCCCTCCCGATCACCACTGCTGGCTGCTTAAGACAGGAAAGATATTTACCAGGGCGCCTGGGTGGCTCAGCCGGTTAAGCATCTGACTCTTGATTTCGGCTCAGGGCGTGATCTCACGGTTTTCGAGACCGAGCCCTGAGTCAGGTTCTGTGCTGACAGTGCAGAGCCCGCGTGGGATCCTCTCCCTCTCTCTGCCCCTCCCCTGCTTGTACACACACACGCTCAATCTCTCTCTAAATAAATTTAAAAACTCAAAAAAAAAAAAAAAAAAAAAAAGAGGGGCACCTGGGTGGCTTAGTTGGTGAAACGACTGGTTCTGCTCAGGTCATGATCTCACAGTTCATGAGTTCGAGCCCCTCATCCGGCCCTGTGCTGACAGTGCAGAGCCTGCTTGGGATTCTCTCCCCCTTCTCTCTCTCCCCCTTCTCTCTCTGTCCCTGCTCTCTCTCTCTCCTCTGAAAATAAATAAATAAACATTAAAAAAATCCTTCCCAAGTGTCAGAGCCATATCTGATGGTACTGCTTGCAGGAAGTAAAGAATCGTCCTCCGGCGTCCTGCACCCGCTCTCAGAAAGGCAGCTGGCAGAGGGCAGCTGGGAGTCTGGCCCCTGCCGGGCTCTGGCCTGTCCTCACCTGCTGGGGTGCAGGTCTCGGGGTGGAGCCCTGCCTCTGCCTTCCGGGGGGTCACGTGGCTTCTCAGAGTGCCTCCTCGCGGCCCTGGAGCGGGTGGCCCGTGCTCTCCCACGCTTGTTCTCAAGCCTGCGGACGGCAGGCCTCACTCCTGGGGCAGGAGCCCCCCCGAGGGACCTGGGACTATCTGGGCCACCCCACAGGCTCCGTTTACACCAAGCCGAATGCCTCCACGCTAATTTGTTGCTCTGCTTCATCAAGCCGTGTGGACAAAAACCGCACACAGAAGACAAGAAGAAAGGCCGTGGGGACTCACCTATCGTGGCTTCTAGGCCCATTCTGCTGATGGTGGAGAACATGTAGAGCTGTGAACGGTGTAAAACCAGGGGGACAACCGGTCACTGTGTGCAGCCAGATGCTGCCCGGGCCGGCGGTTCTCAGACAGCCGACCAGAGAGGGGGCCCCTAAGAAGGAGCGGGGGCCCTGCGGCCCTCGCCAGGCGCTGTGAAGCCTGGTACCCTGTCCCCACGCGCGGGCTCTGATGGCGCCTCCCACTGAGCTCCCAGGGCCGGGCACACGGCTTGGGGCAGCTCTCCCTGGGATCCACGCCTCAGTCCGACCGTCCCCTCCTCGGGCCGTCTGCCTAAATGGGTGCACCTGCTGAGGGGGTCCTGAGGCAGGGGCCACGGGGCCACACTGACGTTTTCTCAGTGAGGTTCTCTGCAGGTCTGTGTCAGGCAGCATCCAGGCCCTGAGACGCCGGACAGCTGGGCCTCGTTCTGGACACAGCCCAGCCGAGTGGCAGGCGGGCAAGTGTGTGCCGTGTAGCCCGATGAGTGACGGTACTATTGTTGTGACAATAGAGACAGGCACACAAAGGGAAGGTCACCTGCCCTAGGTCATTGTTACCAAATGCGTTCAAAGCAGTGGAAGCCAGCACTACCGTAGGCAGGGCTGCTGCCGCCTGGGGAGGTGGGGGACCCTAGAGGCTGAGCAGGAGCCTGTCGGGGAGGGGCCAGGGCCAGGGCCAGGGGAGGGGGCACCCAAAGGGGAGCCAGTGATGAATGAAGAGAGTGGCCCAGCAACGTGCAGAGGGCAGGGGAGACATCTGGGGAAGGAGGCTTGGCAGGCTCAGTGGGGGGACAAGCTGAGGGGGTTCTGAGGCCACGGCCAGTATCCAGAAACCATGAGTCACGAATGGGGCTGAGCCCGGGCTGGAGGTGACGGTGTGTGTAGGTGGGGGGGGAGGGGGGAGGCGGCTGGTCCTGGAGGCTTGGGGTCCAGACAGGGCGGGCGGTGGGGTGGGATGGGGGCCCGGCTCACCGTGGGGGCCGCAAGCAGAAGCATCAGGCCACAGGTGGAGGCCCGCTTCTCCAGTCGATCTGAGATCACGCCCGCCAGGATCCCACCTGCAATGCAGAGGGGGTGCTTGGGTCCCCGGGGCAAGATCCCACGGAGAGAGAGTGGAATATGCAAGACGGCAGTGAGGAGAGAATAATCTCCCTCTCCACGTCCCTGTCCACCCTCGCCGTTAGCCACGTCCCCGTCCCTCCTCGAGCGGGACTGTCCTCCCAGAGTGACGGCCATACGTCCACTTGGGTGATCTGACGGTTTGGGGAATGCGTGTTCCTCCCGATAGGAAGTCATCTCAGAGGGAACACGGACGCAGGTGTCCAAATGCCACCATCCAAGTTTTCCGTCCACGTGCGACAGGGAGGGAGGGACTCACCGAAGATCCCGCCCACGTCAAACAGGGTGGAGAGCTCCCCGGCTTGTCTGGCATCAAGGTGATCTAACAAAACGACAAGTGTCCCCGTGAGCAAGTCACAGCAAAGTAAGACCGTGCGTGGCGCTCCTGTCTCCTAGGCATGACCTGAGCCAAGCCGCAGTTAGGGGTGAACTCGGGGTAAAGGAAAAACAGCAGAGGCTGCTACGTGGGGAGATGCGCAGGAAGAATGAAAGCGAAACGCTCTTCGCCGGAATAGGAGGATCCTCATGGCTCGGCCTAACTCCCACCCCTCTGGTCCAGTGTCCGTCCCTGGGGTAGCCACAGGTTAGGCGCAGCCCCGAAGGTGCAAGAACTGCCTGGCACAGAGGCTCCGGCACCTGGGCGCACCCTGGGACACTCGGCGGACCCCGAGGAACTCCTGAGACAACAGGGAGGGAGCCACGCTGGGCTCCAAGGGGATTGAGGTTGGACAGTGCAGGAGAAACGGGCTTGGGACGCATGTGGGACCATCAGTCGAGTCCAGCCTTTCCTGGTGTCCTCAAGGCACATACATCCAAGGGACTTAGCTTCTTCTAATCACTCAGACTGGAAAAGCCAGCAATTCGTGACTGGAGTCCTAAAAGTGTCACCCCTTCTGCAATCATGGGGGAACAAAGGAAGAAAGAAGGTACGACATCTGTCTACACAGCGTGCGGCTTGCATGCCCTAATGGGGGTCTCCAGTCTACACTGAGTATGGCTTGCCTGCCGTAATGGAGGGGGGGTCTCCGGTCTACACCACGTGCGGCTTGCCCACTCTAATGGAGAGGGGGTCTCCTGTCTACACTGAGTATGGTGTGCCTTCCCTAATGGAGGGGGTCTCTGGTCTACACCACATGCAACTTGCCCACCCTAATGGGGGGGGTCCCTCCAGTCTACACTGCATGCGGCTTGCCCGCCCTAATGGAGAGGGGGGTCTCCAGTCTACACCGCGTGCGGCTTCCCACCCTAATGGAGAGGGGGTTGCTTGACAGGGAGCAACTGCCTTCCCTCCTTCCCAGACTCTGTCCCCCATAACGTGGCGGTCCCCTTACTGCCTCACCTGCTGTCCCTCTGAAACTCAGCCCTCCTGCCCCGGGCTCACAGCCACGTCTGCTGGACCTTGTGGCCGTGGGGAGTATGTGGTGCGGGGGCCCAGGGCAGGCAGCCCCAAGAAGGGGCACTTTGACCTGAAGACTATTTTCAGTTGAAAGCAATCGAAGCCCGGCAGATTCGGGAACGTTCCTCACCTCGCCCACAACTGCCTACATTCGTGCTGGAAGGCAGAGCCCGAGCAGGAAGCGAGCTCTCACAGAGGCTCCTCTGCACCTAAGGGCCTGGTCTGCACAGTGGGGCAGACGCTGTCTCCAAACACCTCCTCTCCCCTTCCTGCTAGCGTCCTCCCCCTTCGGGACCCCCAGAGCCCACCCCCTCCCGGGCTCAGGACGTCCTACTGGCCTCCTGTTGCCTGACTGTCTCTGGAATGTCCACGTCTTTGTGGATTCCCCGTAGGCACCAAACTCCATTTGATTTCCTCCTGCTCATGTGTCTCGTGTCAATTTGACTCTCAGCCCAGCCACAAGGACCTTGAAGGGCAGAGAAAGCTCTTCCTCCCTGACAGCGATCTGTACTCTGTGAACCCCCGGATTCCACATCTTCCCTCGCTGCCACACTCCCCAGAGCCTACATCTCCCAGGGACCCTTGCAAGCCCTGTCCCCTGGCCCCTCTGATGGTCCCCGTGCCCTTTCGGCTGTGCCTGCAGCCCCCGCACTCAAGGCTCCTTTAAGAACTGTGGTCACACGCAGCACAGGGAGGGTGACGGTGCCATGGAGCTGTGGGTTCGGTCACATGTACAGCTTCGGCCGTGGCTGGACTTCAGGAACCCAAGACAAGCTGTCAGCTGTCCCTAAAACTAGAGCTCTTCCCCAAGCAGCCATTTCCAGGTCGGATTAGTCAGCCTTTATTATCTCAATCCCCAAGGCCTCCTCCCCGCGCCGCAGCTGTGACGTGAAGTTCCAGGCAGCCTAAATTTAAACGCAGGCCGCCCCAGATAGTTAGAGCCCCGTGGAATTGGCAGCCGCAGCTGGGCTATAACGTGGGCCCTTTAAGCCCCATCAAGGTTATTACGGCCACGGAACTTTCGTACCCGAATTCTCTTTTTGTCTATACGTTTCTCTAATCACACGTTGTGTGGTTCAAAAGCATGTCTCAAATCCTCGGGCCCCACGCGTGCCCTTTCCTTCCGAGACCGCGGAAGCCAGCGCACGAGAGGGGCGCCGGTCAAGGCCCTGCGTGAACTTAACGTCTGTGTTTCCAGCCGCACACACTCACCCACACTGGTGATGTAGAGTGGGAGCCAAAACAGGAAGGTGTAGCTGACCAGCTTTGCAAACAGCAAACACAGAGAGAACTCGATCACACCCTGAATGGGAGACAGAGAGCCGGTGTTTACCCCAATGTGTACTCTGCAGGTTGACTTACACGTGCGACCGAATTATGAATGACTTCGTTCCCATGCCAACGGCTGGCATCTCTGGCCTGGGCAGCTGCAGACGCTGCAGGGAGAGAGGATGCGGGACCTATAGGGCAGGGTGCTGCCTGGGGATGGGGGAGCGGGGGGCAGTCAGCGCATGGGCCCGCGGCCACTCCTGCAGGGCGTGGCCAGAGTGCATAAGACACGACTACCACACCGCACGGCTCTGGGAACTTAGCGGTGAGAGGAGCTCTCCAACAGCGTGCCTGGAGGGGCCATCTCGTCACCGCGCACCCAGCGCTCTCTCTCCCCGGACCGGAATCCACTGCAAAGGACATGGCAGCCGCCCCACACTGAACAGCCTTCCCCCTGCCGCACGCACGGTCGCCCGCACCCTGCCCATGCTCAACACACCGAGGGTGCTGGGAAGTCACCTGGAAGAGAGACGTAGGCCTCCCCGAGGAAACCAAGGTCTGCGGCCTGACAGCTAAGGGGAGACACCTGCTCGAGTTTAGGTCCACTTTTAGAAAGAGGTGGCATTTTGAGACAGTAATTCAGGGTATCACTGGGAAATCTGGGTGAGAGAAGGGGTAACCCTAAGGCAGCATGCGGGGTGCGTGCGGGAACACCCCCCAAAACTGGGCGGAGGACACAGCTCCCAAGTGATGTGATTTCGAGATTAAAAGAGTCAGGGTCTCACAGCGGTGACCCAATAATGAGGACGTGCGCGTGACCAGCCTCATGCTAACCAGGCGCCTGGCGTGGTGCTCACTGCGGAACGAATGGTTTCACGAAATCCTCAGAACGTGAGGCAAGTCCTACACCAGGGCTGAGCCCGATTCGCAGATGGGGAAGCGGAGGCTCAGAGTGGTTGCCAACTTGCCCGGGACGCCCAGGGTGTTCGCAGCTGGGCCAGGGTCAAGCAGGCTGGGGTTCTGAGGCTGCTCCGTCCACAATGCCACGTTTCCTATGTGACCGTGGCACCCTGCCCCACCCTCAGCCCAGCATCCGGACCATAAAGCGCCACAGAAAAGCTGCTTGTTATTCACAACAAAATTTTAAAGGTAACTTTTTTTTTTTTTTTTAAACCGGCATCTCCTACAGGCCACCCACATTCTGGTGACTCTGGGAGTCCCGGCCTGGGCTTCAACGTTCCCCACTGGCTGGAGACCAGCCTCACCCAGTCACGAAAGGGTCTCTGGACCCGTGTTCCCCGTGCCGTTTCTCACTGAGGGCCCACGAGGAGTGTGGTCTGGGCGTGAAATCTGCAGCAGCCCGTCACACCCGAGGGCAGGAGCCCAGACGTTTCCAGGTGTGGTCCACGAGGTCTGGCAGCAGCGAGGGCCTGGACATCCTTCCCTGCGTGGGCAGGGTCTGCTGTCTCCCCTCCGCACCTGCTTCTGCCCCGGCTCTGCCGTCCCTGCCCACCGCGGCTCGCCACGTTAGAAGAACACATCTCCCCTGTGTCTCTGCGAGCTCCCCGGATCCTCTGCTGAGGGAGCCCAGGACTTTAATGCAAGAAAAGTCTAAGCCCACAAGAAATCGCACCCCTGCACCCCTCCCCCACCCGTCTGGGGTCACTTCTCCCCGGGCCCCCTTCAAGCCCTGATCACGTACCGCTGCGCCCGCCGGCAGGTGCCACGCACGCCCGTCAGCCTGGAGCGAGGGCCCGCTGCCTCCCCGCAGACCAGCCACCTCCCTGCGGACCAGCGCACATGAGCTTTAAACCCCAAACAGGTGCAGAGGCTGCACACCGCAGCTGTGCGTCCTGGGGTGGCTTCCTGCCCTCCCCCCGGCTCGCCCTCCCCCTCACCCCTTCCCCAGTAGCACACGTGGCTCACGTGGACTAGCTGTGTTCTCCTAAAAGCACCTCAGAGGGTAGAGAAAGTGGAGCGGGCCCACCCACACCACAGAGCGGAAGTCGGGGACAGTGCCTCCCCGGGGCTCTCGGTCAGGGTCTTCGGGGCCAGGGAGGGGCTGGGCCAGGAGGGGCTTCAGGCTCTGCCGAAGCCAGACTTTCTGGTTTTCCAAGGGGGGACGGGAAGCCCTATTCGTCCAGGAAGCGGGTCAACGTCTACTCGGAGGCAACTAACTTGAAACCTTTCAGGCACCGGGTGTGAGGCCGACCCTGCGCCTCACTCAGACCCAAGACCAACTGTTGGCGGCTTCTGGTTTACGCTGTAGATTTCTAACCCCCGGATTATAGAACCACGGGCTTTTTGTTTAAAGCTTGATCCACAGGCCAGTTCTCTTCACAGCAGGCGAAAGCGGCCCTTTCCGAAACCCTTCCCAGGCACGCGTACTCACGGGGATTCTCAAGGCCCCTGTGAAGCTGATGGCGGCCATGCTGCCCCCGCCGTCGGCCGGGAGGACGACGACGTGGCTCTGATGGACCGGGTGCTTTCCGTCTGACAGCAGTAGACACTGGATCTCGGGGTCCTGGCGGTGAAGCCCGTTGGGAAGAAAAGAGACATGAGGGGTTAGCAGGCATCCGGCTGAAGTGAGGCTGCAAGTCCTAGGGCAGCCGCTGCCCCGCCAGGTCTCGGGGGCGGCCTCGGGGGCGGTCTTTACAAAACGCTACAAACATACAAAATCCCTGGGCCCGGCAATCTAGGATTCTGCCCGTGAAAGACAGTCGGAAAGGCGGAAGAATACGATACGGTGAACGCCACGCCCCCGTTGGGAGAAACGGGTAAAGCGCATCCACAAAAACAACATAATCTGGCAGCAGCGGTAAAAACAAACCAACAGCTTGTGAGGTTTTGACGCTTATGTCACATTGAGTAACAAAACATTCCGAACTGCATTTTCATTATGATCTTAAGGAACACTGAACACGTTCCAATTTTTCTCTGTCGGGGTAACTGGCAGGATCTAGTGATGGGGGGAGAGCAGCTAACTTCTAAGCTGACAATGGTTACTGCCGGGTGACAGAATTGCATGTAATTTCCAGGGGTCAAAAATTCTTCACACGGCCCTGTGTTTTCTAAGGAGCTCACACTGGACGCAGGCATGTTACCAGAAATTGCATTATTTTAAAATTCATAAACCACTTCCAATATCCTGTGAATCCCGCTTCTGGACACTCCTGCAGGACAAAGTGTGCCTTCACGAAAGCAAAGAACAGTGCTCCCCCGCTCGGGGATGGGGGCCCAGCCAGGGCCGGGATGACCTAATGACACTCTTCATGAGTGAACCATGAACTGCAAAGACTTCCAAAGCAGTGTTTCTGTGCATGAACACTTTCCACCAAGTCGAACGGTTTTGTCGCGTTTCCCTCGCTATAACCTGTGCAAGTTGGATATTCGGGATTCTCTTCCAGTGAAACACAGAAACTGGAAGACCGGGGGTGGGGGGTGGGGGTGGGGACAGTCCCCGTGGGGGACAGTCCGACGCCCGCCGGGAGCCCCGCGCCTCGCCCTCGGCCCTTCACCTCGGGACGGCCCAAGATCCACACCTCCGGGAGGCTGGCTTCCGGCCCCACGTGGCCTGGGGACGAACACACTCACGGGTAAGCGTACAATCTGATGTTTCCGACTGGGGATGACAACCCCCGGTGTGACCGCACATCTTCCCAAGCACGGTCCCACAACAGCATACGGACACGGAAGACTTCCGTCTGAGTCTGTGCTGAATACGCGTCTCTCTCCTGAATGATGCTGACTGTCCAGCTTAGGAGGCCACATCGACAGCAACCACACGCTGCAGACTCGGGGCTCGGAGGGGCTGCGGCGCTCAGGCTCTTCCCCAGGCCAGCCACCGCAATCTCGGGGGGCAGGCCGCGGGTGAGTCGGTGTGCAGTCAAGGCCAAAAGCTGGACAGGTGTTTTTTTTTTTTTTTAATTCTGAATTTTCAGGTGTGGATTATACACACAGGAATCAGTCCCGGCGTGTGTGGTGTCACCAATTTCATGAAGACTCTCCCCAAACCTATACAATCTCATATATCTCATTAAACTGCTTCTTCCTCTAAAATTTAAAAAAATGCGTATTTATTTTTGAGAGAGAGAGACAGAGCATGAGCGGGGGAGGGTAGAGAGACAGAGGGAGACACCGAATCCGAAGCAGGCTCCAGGCTCCGAGCTGTCAGCACACAGCCCGATGTGGGGCTCGAACTCACGGACCGTGAGATCATGACCTGAGCCGAAGTCGGACAGACACTTAATCGACTGAGCCGCCCAGGTACCCCAAAACTGCTTCTTTGAATAAAAGATGTAAAACACTTGTTAACGAATGGAATGAAGACCCTAAATTAGAAAATGTATGAAAAAATTTTATAGGAGAAAATAAAGATTTTCAGATGAGTTCATACCTATGTGTAGCTGTCGATACAGTTACTATACTCTCTTAATAAGATACTATATGTAAAATTTTAACTCCAGTATCACGAACACAGTGTGGTATCAGTTTCAGGTGTACAATGTGGTAACTCAACACTCCCACACGACACTCGGTGCTCATCACAGTAAGTGTCCTCGTCAATCCCCATCACCGGTTTCCCCCATCCCCCCACCCCCATCCACCTCCCCTCTGGTGACCATCAGTTTGTTCTCTATAGTTAAGAGTGTTTCTTGGGGTGCCTGGGTGGCTCAGTCAGTTAAGCATCTGACTCTTTTTTTAATTTTATTTTTGAGAGAGAGAGAGAGAGAGAGAGAATGAATCATGACCCGAGCTGAAATCAAGAGGCAGATGCTTAGCTGACTGAGCTACCCAGGCACCCTAAGCATCTGACTATTGATCTCATGGTCGTGAGTTCAAGCTCCACCCTGGGTTCCACACGGGGCTCCATGCCGGGTGTGGAGCCCATTTAAAAATTTAAAAAAAGTCCATTTTTTGGTTTGTCTTTGTTTTTTTCCCTTTGTTCATTTGTCTTGTTTCTTAAATTCTACATACAGGTGAAATCCTATGGTATCCGTCTTTCTCTGACTGACTTCTTTCTCTTGGTATAATACTCTCTAGCTCCACCCACATCATTGCAAATGGCAAGATTTCATCCTCTTCTATGGCTGAGTAACATTCCGTTGTATATAATACACCGCATCTTCTTTATCCATTCTTCAGTTCATGGACACTTAGGCTGCGTCCATGTCTTGGCTGTTGTAAATAATGCTGCTATAAACATAGGGGTGCATGTATCCTTCTGAATTAGTGTTTTTGTATTTTTTGGGGAAATGCCCAGTAGTGTGATCGCGGAGTCACAGGGTAGGTAGTTCTACTCTTAACTTTTTGAGGAAGCGCCATAACGCTGTTCCAGAGCGGCTGCACCAGTCTGCATTCCCACCAACAGTGCACGAAGGTTCCTTTTTCTCCACCTTGGCCAGCGCCTGTTGTTTCTTGTGTTGATTTCAGCGGTTCTGACAGGTGTGAGGTGATACCACGTTGTGGGTTTGATTTGCCTTTCCTCCATGATAAGTGATGTTGAGCATCTGTTCGTGTGTCTGTTAGCCGTCTGGATGTCTTCTTTATGTCTGTTCGTATCTTCTGCCCATTTTTTAATTGGATTATTTTTTAGGTGTTAAGCTGTATAAGTTCTTTATATATTTTAGATACTAGTCCTCTCTCAGGTATGTCATTTGCAAATATCTTCTCCCATTCGGTAGGTTGCCTTTTGGTTTTGTCGGTTTCCTTTGCTGTGCAGAAGCTTTTTCTTGATGAAGTCCCAATGGTTTATTTTCACTTATGTTTCCCTTGCCTCCGGAGACACAGCTACAAAGGAGTTGCTGTGGCCAACGTTAGGGACATTACCGCCTGTGTTCTCTTCTAGCATTTTTATCGTTTCAGGTCTAGGCCAGGTGTTTTGTAAACACGAAAACAGACTCACCAGTGGATGAGATTCAGCCAGATAAAGATAAAACATAGAGGGAACAGACCCTGCTCAGCCAAGAGGAGAAGAGCGCCTCTAACTCAGAGCAGGAATTGTACACAGAAACCCGCCTGGTCACAGCCCTTCCTGGTTCCGTAAAGCGTGTCTGGATTGCCCGCTGGGCTGGAGAAAAGTCTCGGATCCAGCCCCTCAGCTCTTTATCTAAGCAAGCTTGGTCTTTGTTGGGAAGGGCCTCCTGCCCACACCCACTCATCTTTAGGTACAGCCTGGGGGCTCCTACCTACCAAATTCCAGTGCTTGGCAGTGTCTGGAGGAGACAGAGGGAAAAAGGGAAGTCCTGGTGGGTTTTGTAAGACAAATCAGGGGGTGGGGCACCTGAGTGGTTCGGTCCCTTGAGCGTCTGACTCTTGATTTTGGCTCAGGTTTTAATTCCAGGGTTGTGGGATCGAGGCCCAAGTGGGGCCCCTCACTGAGCATGAAAGCCTGCTCGAAAGTCTCTCTCTCTCTGCTCTTCCCCTGCTTGTGCTTGCTCTCTCTCTCTCTCAATGTAAAAAACAGAAACAAAAACAAAAAGACCCCACAACAAACAGGGGAGGAAATCTGCCTCCTCCTTATAGAGCCAGAGACCCACCGGGCGGACCGGACATGGGAAGCTGGGCACCAAGAGCCCCAGGGGATCTGACGGCACCAGCAGGGGCAGAGCTTCCTCAGCCAAGGCAGCCCGCTCCTAGGCTCAGGACTCGGAGGGCAAAAGGGCTCCATGCGATGAACACAGACGCGCGCACACGGCGGGCGGAGGGGAAGCGTGCAATGCTGCCCCGACGGAAACCCAAGCCCACGGCATGCCCTGTGCTGCCCGCAGCCACACGGAGGAAGGTCTCCCCCAGAGAGCGTGGATTCCCACCGGTGCGCCACGTGGAATCACCTTTGGCATTAAAACGCCCACTCAGCGCTAAGCGTTGGCTGAGCCCCAGACAGCCAGAAAGACCCTCAGAGAAGCCTAGGATGACGGTGATGTGGGCCTCTGAGGGTGACAAATTCCCACCAGCCAGCCACAAGCCGAGCATCACAAAGAACCCCATGGAAGAGGGTCCACCTGGCTCGTGATGCCTGAGCCTCTCCCTCTTTGTTCGAACTCGCCTCCCCACGCGCCCCTGGCTTCACGTCTTTTCTCGCCAAGTTGCTAAGAATCACGCGTGGCCCAGACGCCACGGTGATGAAGGTGATGAGGGGGTGGGCGCTGCTCAACTCTGGGCCCCGCGGATCCGAGCTCGGTCCCTCCGGGAGAGGGGACAACAGGGTGTCCTGCCAAACTGGAGGGACATCCTGCCTGGTGACCCAAGAGCCCCCCCCCTCCCCACTTCAGTGGGTGCCGCGTAAGGGACATGGGACCAAAATCTGCCCGGTCACGGGCACATCAAGGCCAGCCTGCGGTGTGGCCGGGCCTGAAAAGACCCGCCAGGGCCTCTAAACATGCCACTGTCTCTCTGGTGACATGGTGGTCAACGGAAGGCAAGAGGGAAGTTACGCTCAGAAGACGTGGTTAGCCGTACCGGGTGGCACGCTGCCAGAACACGCGGCCTGGGGGTCTTGCCTCAGAGGAAAAGGTGAGTCTTCAGTAACAGCCAGAGGGGAGTCACAGCCACTTGGACATCGATTAACATCTGGTGGTGTGGACCGACTATATGTGTTCCTCCCAAATTCCCATGTGGGACCCCAAGCCCCGAGTGGTGGGCAGAGAGGTCACGATGGGGTCAGCGCCTTGTGAGAAGAGGCCCCGGGAGCCCGCGTCTCTCCCTGTGCTCTGTCTCTGAGCATCCAGGGAGAAGGCAGGCGTCTGCGAGACCCCAGACCTGCCGGTGCCTTGATCCTGGACTTCCAGCCTCCAGAAACAAACGTTTGAAATGCGAGGGAAAAACGCGCGTCGTTTAAGCCACCCAGTCTGCGGTATTCTTGTTCCGGCGGCCCGAACTAACACACCCAATTGTTGACATGCACACTCAGCTGAGAGTAGAGAGTTTACAGGACTCCGGCGGCATTTCCCCCAACTCCGAGAACCAAGACGTGCGAGACGTCATTTTTCCCTTTCAGTTACTTCAGCCACCACAAATAAACTTCCTTAGGCAGTAAAGAAAAAAAAAGAAGCCCACGTGGAGCATGTATCCTTCTAGCTGTCTGATTGAAAAAGCAAACAGCTTGTTATTTCAATGACTAAAACGAATCCAAAATGCCCCTGTGGCTCAGTGTGGTCAGTGAAGCGGAGCCATACGAGAAAGTTCTTGGCAGTATCCTGGAGGGAGGAGGCCCACCGGCTGCATCGAGGCTTCCCTTCTGAGGAGGACCAGGCGGGCAGCTGAGCACTCGGTGCCTCAGTTTCCTCCTCTGTAACACGGGAGTGGCAGTGCAGAGGGCTAGGAGATGATTTTACGTTATCTCTTGGGCCCACCTCACTCGCCAGCCCTCCCTGTGTGGCCCCTGAACCTCCTAGCCCAGGTCCGCTCAGGCCCGCCCCCCTTCACGGCTCTGTCCACGCCCCCTGCTTAGGGATGGCTCCCCACACGAGGCCTGAACCAGCGCCCGCTCACCCGTCTCGGTGGGCTCTGTGCCTGGCATTTAGCTGCTGCAGGAAACTGCTGGTTTCCCCTCTGTCCCCCACCCGCCCCCCCAGAACTTGAGTCCACGGGAGCAGCGGGGACAGTGTGACTGCCGCTCAGGGCGTGGCCTGACGCGGAGCACGCCTGGGACACTGAACGCTGAGCACAGCTGTTGAATGAGGGCATCGCTTCCAAATTTGATTACAGACTTAAAGTAAGTCCAGCCTGCTGCCCAAAGAAATCGCGCAGGGGCAGGCTCAGGTCTCGTGCAGGAAACGCGAGGCCCAAGTCTGTCACCGAGGCAGGGCTCGGATTTCCGCAAGGCGGCGGGGGCTCGTTCGACTCACCAGGGGCTTGTTCTCGTCGTCCGCGAAGACTTGCTTCTGCAGCCTGAATCTGTGTGCGCTGTTCTCGTGGCCCCTCGAATGCTGGGTCAGAAGAGCAGAGCGTTACAGCGATTCCCGAACGGACGGCGGCGACCGCAGTGGCCACCCCAGAGCAAGGGGCACCGTGCAACACGTCCCAGGACAGGCGCCGGGGGGAGCGAGACACACGACTAAGATAAAGCAACAGGTAATCGGGGGCTCTGGACCCTCAGACAAAAGACGTGGAAAGAAGATCTTTCTTGATGAATAAGCCAAGACTGAGGGATAAGGAAACGTAAAAATGCTGATTACGGCAACCTAATCGTCCTTACTGGCTTTGACAGTTTTCAGTGACGGATGGAAAGGCCTGTAGAAACGATACAGGGCAGTGTCCTTCTCTAACGAGTGTGGAACAGAGGCCCTGCCGGGGTCAGCAGCGCGATTCAGGGCAGGGCGTTTTCACGGACACTAGTCACTGCACAACCAAAACCCGATCCTTACGAGCTTTGAAACGGAAATTCATGCTCGCGGCAGGAAAATGGCTTTTAAAATGTTTTACAGTATCAACTATGGGTTTTTTTTTTAATGTGTTAACCTTCCCGAAGGTCGTGATTTTCAAAATCGGGTTTGTTTTCATTCAATAAGGCATCAGAACCCCTCTTTTCAGATTGTGCTTAAAGGCTCCAAGTAATTAACAAGAGGGAGTCTCTGGCTCCGTCTCTTGCACTGCGGCGGGCGCTGGTCCGGGAGCAGTGGGCCTTGGCCGTGAGCGAGAGGAGCTCCTGCCTGCGCGGTCACCTCCCACTGGGGAGACCAGCGGCAAGGAGTAAACGAGATGTACTGGGTAAAGCCGGGTAGAGTAGGAGGCGGTTAATCAAGTCAGTGATGTGCCCTGACTTCCCAGGCAAAGCGTGAAACATGGGTTTGGGAGGAGCAAGGGCTCAGTGTTTGAGGAAACTGATGAGCAGTGGCTCAGAGGGGAGAGGACGGTGCCAGGGGCCAGCCTGGTGGACGTGACGTCCCAGGAGCTGGCCTGCCCACAGGGGGGACAGTGGTTCCCCGACTGAGACGGGGACAGCCGGGGCCCGGCTGTTTATGGGGTGAGGTGGAGAGATTACTGGGTCGTGGCTCGTCTGAGACGCCTCTACGGGGGTGGCAGGCGGGCAGTGCCCTGTGTGACCGTGTTGCTCAGGGAGAGGCCCCGCTGGGACTCCACACCGGCGCACAGGGGGTGCTGAGGCAGGGCCCGAACGTATCTCCAGCGGTGAGAGCACAGAGGACGGGGGAAGGAAGAGGCTGGGGTGCTGACGCATCTGAGGCTGCAGGGACCCTGGCGGGCTGTTTCGATGGCCCAGCGTGGGCTGGAGGGAAGGCAGGAAACGTGCACGTGAAGTCAGCGAGGGTGGCCCGCGGGGACTGCTCCGTGGTCAGCGGGGAACTGGGCGTGAGGGCCACAGGGGCTCCGCCCGGGGAAGGGACACCACCTGCTGGGCGCGGCAGAGGAGCAGGGGCCCGGCCTCAGGTCAGCCTCTGGGGGGGGGACGTCGCGGCCCGGACTGCTCCAAACTTCTTGTCTGGGGGTCTGTCGCCACGGTCATGACTAGCCCTCTCCTGGCACTGCCAATACTTCGAGGGTGGGACCCTGTCCACACTTGGCTACCCACTGACACCACACAGACCAGCCAGACTGGCGGCGGTCGGCAGACACCTAGCCGACGGCACACGGTCCTGGCAGACGTGAGGAGTGGAGAGGGAGTCCTTACCGCCACCAGGGAGGAAGAGCAGGCGATGTCCTTGGGATCTGAAACACCAAACAGAGCAACGTGTGAACCCAGGTCTGACAGCTTCCACCGCAAGAAATGAGACTGCCACGAGCCATCTGATACTTGACCAGACGGAAGGGAAAGACGGCTGCCCGGCGGGGTGAGGCTGCAGCTGGTCAACCCGCCAGGCCGCCCCACGCCCCCTCTTTCCGTCCCCGGGACCACGTGCTCCCCCAGTGCCCACAGCATGGCAGAGGGAGCCACCGGCAAAGGGAGACCGTCACACGTGTGAAAACGTGGGACATATAAAAATAAGCAGAGCACATGTGTGCTACGATGACAGGCCATGGAAAACGCACGTAAGGACAGGAATCAGAAGGAACTGTAGACGTGGGACAAGCCTCTTTGGAGCAGCTGGTCACTTTCAACATATGTGATGGGCTCGTTAACATTACGGAATGAATTACGAATAAGAGTTAGTGGGGACCAAACATCTATCGTGATACAGAGCAAAATGCCTTTTATCGAAACGCGAAGAAGGAAGGACAGGTGCAAAGCCACAGAGCCGACAGCCAGACTCACAGCCTCCAGGAGCTGGGGGGCGCGGACCCCCTGCTTCGGAAGCCAGACGGCCGCCCTAACGGGATACACAGGTCCCTTCGGAACGGCTTTGAAACCCAGATGGCCCCCAGGACCCCCTGCTTTGGAACCCAGACACTGCCTTAAACAGCCCGGCCCTTCCTCCTACCCAGAATCCGGGTCTTTTTGTGACTTTTGGTGACTTTCAACTTCCCACAGCTGAGTTCCCTCTGGGGACACGGGGGTGACAGCCACAGGGGGCCCCACCGGACTGAACACACATTCTGCTGGACCAGCAGCTCTTTCACGTCCGCCGTGCGTGGCCGCTTGGCACTGGCGGTCCCGGTAGCACACCTGAGATGTGCCGTCACTGCTTATAGAGATATCAGCAGTGCGCAAGTGGCTTTCCCCAGGGAGGCCCCTGTGAGGTCCCCAAGGGTCAGTCAGGGGTCGCCACTCCTCATGAGGCTCGGCCAGTCCCCACGATACGGCCTTCACTGTACGGGGCATCAGCACAAAGGACGCTCGGATGGGACATGCCAGAGAGCGGCTTCCCAGGCCGACCCAGAGGGGCCTGAGAACGGGGGACCGGGAGGGACCCCGGTCACGAGAAGGGTGGGGAGGGAGCAGAGAGAAACCAGCAAGGTGCACGTCGACTGGCCTCCCCTATGTTGAGGGCTCTGCCGGCAGCATCGCCCGTCCTGACAGCTGGCCGTCATCACCGTGCACACGGAGCCTCCCGGTCACGGGGACAGAACACGGTCCCCCCTCCCCCGGCAGAAAGGCCCCAGTTTTGTTCTGCTGTGGGGGAGGGCAAGCGGCCTCCTTTAGGCTGACGTGCCCTGCGTCCACGTGGACCCGGGCTGACGGGGGACACGCGAAGACGGGCCTCATGCACGAGAGCCTGGCCAGGGCCTGGGCGAGGAGGACGGGAAGGGTCTGAGCCTGCACGCCGGGTTCTCTCTGCTCACACCAGCTCATGCATGGCGCCTGGGGTCCCGGCACGAGGGAATGTCAGGGGACCACAGAAGCACCTCGTCCCACGAGGCCGGCTAGAGGCGCCACCTCCAGAGGAAAGTCAGCGGTCAGCACACGGCAGTGCCCGTCAGAGCCGCGTGCACAGAGGCCCCCCCGACCACGGCTGCGGGGAGACGGGGTGCGTGGCGGGGGCAGGGGGCTTCCCCAGACAGGGTGGCATAGAGTAGAGAGGCCCACTTGGGGGTCGGGGGGGCTGTACTGCGGGATGAGGTCCCCTGCCGACAGGTACGGATGGCAAGTCTGGCCCACGCGCCGGAGCGATGGGGTCACGAGCCCTGTCGACCTCCTCCTGGCTCCCGTCGGGGGGCCTCCTCGGGGGCTCCGACATCCCCGGCAGGAAAGAGAAGGGCCTGCGGGGACAGGGGGGCCGGAGGCAGGGCGAGGAGGGGTGGAGGCCGCCTCACGTGCGCGGCGAGGGCGGGAAGGGGGGCTGCGGTCAGGGGAGTGCGCGTCCCACGAGCAAAGCCAGTCTTTCACTTCACCGGGAGAAAGGGGCTCACGTAACGGAGCGACGGTGGCAGAGAAGACACCCATGTGTGGCGTCTCTCAGACGCTTTCTAAGAGAAGAGTTCCCACAGCCCCAGAGATAATCTCTCAAGTCTCTGGGTCCTAGGGAACCCCGGTTTGACAAACAGACTTAAGAAAAGCCTACACTCTCTGTTGCAGGAAAACGTCTCTCAAATGCATATTGTCTCTGTGACAGAAAATAGCATTTATGACAGAGTTTGGTTTTTTTAATTATCACCTAAATGACAAAAAAAACCTTTTGAACCGTATCCACGAGAACACATCCCAGGGACCTAAGGGGTCTGTGGCCAAAGTGCGAGAAAGTCTGAATGGGTGAGCAGGCACCTGTTACACCCCAACCTCACCGTCTACCGTGTGACCTGGGGCAGGGCACCCACGGCCCTGGAGGTCCACGCGACTATACCTGCAGCGAGCCTGGCACGGTGCCGGGGACACAGAAGGCACCTGCTGTACGGTGACACAGAATGGTGACACAAGAAGGGCCACTAATTACTCAGAGGGCCTGAAAGATGACTCAAGTCCAGGGCACAGAACAGGGTAAGCCTAGTCCGAAGGCAGTGCCGGGCGAGGTGGGGTGAGGGCGGGGACCAGGTGACTAATCTGGCTCTGGGGGCGGGGGGGGGGGGCAGGTTCCCCGAGAAACCTGCCCCAGACCGTGAAGGGTGTGGGAGCAGGAGGGTGTGGGGGGGCTGGGAAGGAGGAGTGGGCAGACACCGCGGGTGGAGCAGTGGAGGGGAGGCACAGGGGCTCGGCCGAGGGCCCGTGTCGCCTGTGGCGAGGGCGCAAAACCGCCTGGACGGGGCCGGGGACACGGGCTCCGAGTCCAGGCCTCCGTCCCACAGCACCGCCCTGCCCAGGGTGCCTCAGGCCGCCCCCGTGGTCAGCACGTGGCCTTTCTCCTCAGGTCAAGGACGACCCAGGAGCAGGAGAACGAAGTGCAGGTCCGCGGGTGTGCGTCTGTCCCCGGGGATCTGTAAGCCTCCGGACAACTTCCTGGGCAGGGTCCCTGGCCTCACGGCTCGGCAGGGCCGGGAAAGCAGCTCGGGGGTCACCGCAGGCACCGGACGGAGAGGGGGTCCCCGACCAGGGCTGGTGGGAGGGCAGCTCCAGGAGAGCCCTGCGTGGACCCTCTCTGCCTTGTCCCGCCCCTCGGAAGACACAGGAGCGGTGGCTCCGTGGGAAGGGGGCTCTCGTTTTCCTACGGAGGACGAACCACAGCTTCCTTGTTCTTGGAAACCCTGTCCGGAGTGGGGGACGAGGCCCCGCCTGGGAAAACCGACCCGAACGGTGCTACGATCCCGGCCAGGCTGGCAGATTAATCGCTCCTGCCACACACCTCATTCCGTGTCACATTTCCTCTTTCCCCCTAAACCACCCTTCCTTGGTTGGGGAAGAGAAAAAAAAGGTGCCGTGGACACACCCGGGGGCCCCTGCGCACGAGCAAAGAGGACACGCATTGTTCTCCAGATGACTAATGCGTAAGGAACACTCTGGAGAGCCCCGGGACCGAGCTCCAGGTGCCAGGGAGCCAGCGTGGAGACAACAGGGGACACAGGGACCTTTCCCGGAACTCCGTGGTACCCAAGCTATGGCTGCCCGCCACAGGCTGGGTATGTGGGTGAGGTGGCTCTAAACCCCTGTCTGTCTCACGATTCACTGGTCCTGGCCACGTGGACGCGTTGCAAATAGTGTCCTCGGCCCCGGAGGAGGGGGAAGAGGGGGTGAGCCGCAGCCACCCCTCCCCGTGCCCGCCCGCGGTGCACCCCAGGCCTCAGCGGACCACGGCCTCGCTCTCACTGACAAGGCTGGCCTGGAGCCTCACACCCGCACAGCTGATGGTAGTCACTTTAAGACGGAAAGGTTACCTTTAGCAGCAAGAAACAAGAAGTGAGAAGCTGGGTCAAACAGACCTCAACGTCCCGGGTGACGAAGCCGGCAGCCCGAACTCAGAGCTGAAGTGACAATGAATGCCCAGCACGGAGGGCGTAGCCGGGCTCCTGAGGGTCCCTACCTGGGAGTCAACAGTGGGGAGCTGTGCTGCACCATATGATTTTGTTTTCCCTGAAGCCAAATCAAAGAAGTAAATGCCAAACGTGACCCCTCAGAACAGCTCGTGGGACGGGGACGCCTCGACACCCGACACTTTCGGCAGCTTCTCTCCCACTGGAGGTACTGCCAGGACTCCTTGTCCCTGCCGGATCTCTACTTTGAAAACTGATTTCAAATTCAATTAAGTCAGAGTGTGGTATTGAGTCTAGAATGGGGCAAAGAATTTGAGTTTCTGGTAGAACACTCTTCACCTGATTAGGACATCCGGTCTTGGGTTGTGCAATGACTTGGTGACATTGTCTAAGGTAGATCTTATCAGAAGACAGACAAGCCGGCGAGGTACCAGTCTGCGTCGGCAAGACAGGTGAGCAGGTGCGGCCACGCGGGCTGGGCGCTGCACCCCGGCAGGTGAGCAGCGTGGCAGGCCTCGGGCAGACGTGACGTTGCCGGCACCGGGCCAGCCACGCGCACCTTGCGCCGCGGGGCAGGAGGGCAGGTTGGGATGGGAGGAATCTCAACATCAGTTACTCCAGAAATCAGGAGACGACAGAAAACCCAGCCAGACCTGAAGACAGAAGGCTACCTGGCAAGGGGAGAGCCAGGGCGACCGCGGGCCCACGAGGGGCCAACACAGCCCGTTCTCTTAACAACTCGCCCCGCGAGGCCCTCCCGGGGCGCCATCTCCAAGGCCGGGGTACTTACGTTCGATGAGAAAGAGAAAGCACACAATCCCCATCGCTGCCACAATGGCCCCGGGCACGATGAAGGACAGGCCCCAGCACGTGGACACCCAGTAGCCGGCAATCAAGGACCCCAAAATGTTGCCCACGGACGTGTGGGAGTTCCAGACCCCCATAATCAAACCTCGCCTGCAACACAACAAAACACAAGACGGCCAATGATGTCGAGAAGCTTCAGTGGACCAGCAGGTGGAGGACAGACGGTGCCTACGACGGGTGCGAGGAAACATCGAAATCAACGGGCAGCGTGGATGCCACTCCCGCAAGGTTGTCTGGCGGGACACACGTCAGGCCGTGGCACTGCACGTCCCTCTCAGAGCTTTGTTATTCTGTGCTTACAAAGAGGAAAGAAGCCTTTCCCTGACCTTCTTGGAAGGCCCCACATTTACATTTGTGCCTCCGTAACTGAAATACAATCATCTGGGGCACCCGGGGGGCTCAGTCGGTTGAGCGTCTGACTCTGGATTCGGCTCAGGTCGTGATCCCACGGCTCAGGAGTTGGAGCCCCACATCCGGCTCTGGGCTGACGGCTTGGAGCCTGCTTGGGATTCTCCCTCTCACCCTCTCTCTGCCTCTCCCCCACTCATGCTGTCTCTGTCTCTCAAAACTAAAAATAAACTTTAAAAACAAATACAATCGTTTGAGGAGATACCCCATTAGCAAAAGCTCACGTCGAGGACCCCACCGGCTGAAGGATCGAACCCGGGCTCACGGCGGTGGGTTCTGGCCCTGCTTCCCTGCTTTCCCCGTGGCTCCCAGCGCTGTGTGCTCTCGGGCCTGGCCACGCCGTGCACCATGCAGAAATCACAGACCGTGGGCCCATCGCCAAACACTAAGTGCAGCTCAGGACCTGTCACCCTTCCAGGTGCCTTCCTGTCTCGGGACGATATACTTATTGCTTCACAAGACCTGGGGCCGGGCCCTAAGCTCCGTGTTTTCTGCCAGGCTCGCGGGTGACCAGCTGCGCAGAACGACACGCTCCCGCAGCCCGCGACAGGGACAAAGGCCCACCTGAATCTCAGAACCCCAGAGTGTCAATCATCTTTGAGAGAGCAGGCTAGCAAAAGCGGCTTTTTCCGCAGCGGATCTAAAGAATGACTAAAAATGATGTGGTCTGGTTTGCGTCAGAATCTTAAAAAACAAATGGTGCTGAAAGCGGGTGCCTTTTCTCACCTTCCTTTTCCGAACCAGTTGCCGAGGCAGGTGACGACGCTGGGCCAGCCGGTGGTCTGCACCAGTCCGTTGATGATCTGTGACAGGGGCAAAGGAGGGCTGACGGCAGGTGGGAAAGCACACGCGGCCGTCTTCAGGCCAGGCTCACAGGCGCTCGCTTCCCCGGTTCTTTGCAAGTTTGGGTGCACAGCGGGGACTCCCACAGCAGCAAGGCAGCAAAACCCTCCTTGATGGGAGCCTCAACAGCCACGGATATGTTTTCAGCTACACACACACACACACACACACACACACGTGCATGGAAATCATAGATAAGTGCTTTCACTTCTGTGGCCTGAGCCTCTGAGAGGAGAACGAGCTGGACGCAGAGCTCAGGGAAGCGTTTCTCCACGTTTCAACAGCGCCCGGGCTGACGCTCTCAGAAGGTTCAAGAAGTGCGAGCAGGTCTGCTTTAGTCTCCGGGGCATCCGGGGTCAAGGGCACGACAGGAGCTGCCCTCCTTTGCCCCCTACAACGTTCCTGGGCCTGTCCGGCTTGCCTTCCCTCTAGGAACAAGCTGGGACTCTGGGAAGCTTTTTTCCTTCCTTCTAGTTTTTTATTTTACTATAAAGTGTGAATCGCTGTTGTCATTAAAACAGCCAAACTTGTTCAAGTCCAACGGCAACATTTGAAAAGCAAATTCCGGACAGTTGGCTTTGATGATTTGATGACACCCTCAGGCTCTGGAGAGCCTCAGAGGCTGGGCACGAGTATTTCTGTCATTTCTCACTTGTGGTCGATGTTCACCCAGGGCGGGGCAGGGCGGGGGCAGTGGCACACCAGGACAGATGGGCCGGCAGGAAGGGCAGAGCCCACGGCCTGGCTCTACTCCCCTTGGAGCACGGTGAGGCTCTCTCCTCTCCGCCCTGCTGACCGCCCACAACGCCAACCTCCCGCCAGCAGCTCCAGAGTGCTCCCTTCCTCCCACCCCTGCCACCCTGTGTCCCTCCATCGAGACAGGTCAAATGGGCCACAGGACACGAAATCTCCCACACTCGGGCGGCAGGGCTCCCAGGCTCCCTGCCTCAGTGCCCAGTGGGGGGCTCGGAGGGGGAGGATTTAAGAGGCAGGTCCCAGGACTAAGGGAGGCCTCACAGCTACTGCAAGGACAGAACTTCCTGTGCCAGCACCGACCCCAACGGCAGACAGGACCCCGTGCACCCCCACCCCCAGGCAGCCTTCTCTCGTGGCAGAAAGGCCCAGTCCGATTCATCACGGAAACCCCATCCATGGGGAGCCGCGGACCCAGACCTCACCTGAGTTACCACGTAGAAGCCGAAACTGTGGATGTTGTAGAAATACCCTAATCCAAACAGGGCGGTAAAAGCACCACTGGCCAGCATCCCAGAAGTCAGGTAATACCGAATGGGCAGGCGTTCCCCTATTATGCCACTGAGGACGGAGAAGAAAGAAGCGAACATGAGAAAACAAACACACCCACAACGTGAAGGGTCCGGATCTTTCCGGATGTTTTCACGCTGTTCTCTGAGCTTTCAGAACTCCGATGCGCTAAGTTTCCAGGAAGATTTCATCACAGCTGTCTCCGGTGGAGCACTTATTAACCAGAAATTGGCAATTGGCAACATCTCTTAGGACTTTATTTCTAGTAAAAGCCACTAACCATCAAGTAATAAACCTCAAACACTATGACTTGCCTGTGATGGTTGCCAATTAAAACAACCAAAATCTCGTCCTGCTAGTTAAACGTGTTTTTCTGTAAACAGCATCCAGTAACTGTGCATAGTGTTCAAACATCTGGAAGGGCAGATGTAGGCGTGTCATGAAAGGGATCAGTTGTGGCCTCGGTTAGTCGCTCGCCCCCGAGCTGTCACCGAGTCCCCTGCGTTAACACGCCGGGCTGGAGGGGCTCTGCCAGCTGCCTTCCTGCTGACCTGCTGACCTGTGACCTGGTTTGAAGACAGACAGACTGGAGCGTGAGGTCAGGGACAGGGGGTGACATGCTCCTTTCCACCGGCAAGGTGGCTCAAAATGAGCAGCTGGCTGGACAGCTCCTTCCCAGAGCCGTCTGGTGCTCCGGTGGGGTCGCTGTGGGTGAAGGGCCCGGGGCAGGGTGGCCTCTCACCGCCTTAGGGGAAGGGCCACCAAGGAGCAACGTGACAGTGTCACTTGTTCAGTGCACAAAACCCAGAATAATCCCAGGTAACTGGGAGGCTTATGCAGCCATGAGAAACCACGGGTCACATTTTCTTCCACGTGGCCGTTAAGGGATCCGGATAAACAAGAAACTTAATGGAGAGTGACCCCTACCTGCCCGTGAACAATGCTCTGGGAACCATCTCCACGATTCTGTCTTTCATCTCAAGAACCAATACACTAGAAAACCTGTCCTTCTGGAGTCCCCAAATAAAGCCAATCTACCTAACACCACACCGGTGACTGAGGCAAATGACTAAGGCAGAGGAAGTAACTTAAAATTAGAAACAGGGGTGCCTGAGTGGCTCAGTCTGTTGAGTGTCAGACTTCAGCTCAGGTCAGTGATCTCACAGTTTGTGGGTTTGAGCCCCGCGTCGGGCTCTGTGCTGACAGCTCGGAGCCTGGAGCCTGCTTCAATTCTGTGTCTCCCTCTCTCTCTGTCCCTCGCCTGCTCACGCTCTGTCTCTCTCTCTCTCTCTCTCGAAAATAAATCAACATAAAAAAATAAAAAAAAAAATTAGAAACAACATTCAGGTCAGATTTTAAGCTGGGGAGAAACCGGTCACAAACTCAAGAGCGTTCTAGAGCTAAGCAAGTTCTCTGCTTCAACCCGCTGGCTTCAGAGGAGAGAAGACGTGTCTCAGAGGGGCTGGCTGACCTGCCTGGGCATCACAGGACAGAGCTAGTGCCGTCAGCCAGGGCTGACACATGTTCTCCAGTCTTGCTATATGACACTGGGCCCAAATTTAGTCTCTGCTTCCAAGTCGCTAAAGAAAAGGCCTAAGGGAACGGACACCATTCCACCTGACATCCGATTCATACCGGGAACCAAAGGCCAGGGCGCACCTGCTAGGAAGGTCTGGGCTGATGTAGGTGCCCCCGTATGCGGTTCACGCGACATACAAACGATCCATTTCCTGAGCCACGTGTCACAGTGTCACTAAAGGGCCATCCAAAGAAGCAGTGTATGCCTTTGTTACAGCCACGAGTCTACTCTGGATTCTACACGAGGCAGAATTTTGTTAATAAACCCTCATTGGCGAGTTTCATGACACGTTATCTTTGCTGATACATAAGCAACAGTAAGACCCTCTTATTTAAAGCCTTCTTAACCTCAACCCTCTTGACCCGTGGGGTCGGGTCACTCTTTGTGCCGTAGCATGCTCAGCGGCCCCGGTCTCTGCCCACTAGATGCCAAGCACCCCTTGTCCGGTTGTGACACCAACCTTGTTTCCAGATCCTGCTAAGTGTTGCCTAGGGGACAATATCATGCTAAGCTGAGAACTGCATTTAAATACCGTTTTCTACTAACTGGGAAAAACAGTCCAACCTTTGGGCTTTTTCTTTTTTTTTTTAATTTTTTTTAAGATTTATTTTTGAGAGAGAGGGAGAGAGACAGAGCATGAGCAGGGGAGGGGCACACACCACAGGCTTCCGTATCCAAACTTACACATTCATTCATTCAAACCCGTTCTGCAGGGCTATGCAAATGAAACACAGAGGGGCCGTCCACTCCACCAACAGAAAGTGCCTGACCGGGCACCACCCCCACCCTGCACTGGGGTGCAGGGGCAGGTCTGGATGATGCCACACTCTGGGTGGATATCACAGAGAAGCTAACCACTCACAGGTGTCCCCACGATGCTCAAAGCTCTGAAGATCACTGGGTCTCTGAACAAAAGCCCCTTGCGCTGAAGGCCTTTAGTCCCTATAATTTTTTTTTTTTAAACCCGGCTGGACTGACACGATACCAGTTTTTAATCAGCCAATCACAAATCCTGTTACCCACATAACACTTCCACCTTCCTGGGTCGATGCAGGACGGGGTGAGAATCACATGTGACCGACGCTGGGAACACTCCACGGGCCGGGCTCTGCTCTGCGCATTCCACACGGATTAGCTCATCCTCTCCTGCCATGATCCGGGGAGTTAACCACTGTTGTGCCCATTTCGCAGAGGGGAAACTGAGGCCCAAAGAGGGGCAGCACTGAGTCGGATTTATTCCCAGCTGCGTGTCTCTGGGGTCCGTGCCCCAACCACAGGGAGGACGGTGAGGTGCTGTTTGGGGCGAGCTGGGCAGCCAGGGGGACGTGCCCGGCACACGCCCTAAACTGCTGTGACTCTAGTGATCCGGGTCGTGTGAACAGATGGTGGCCCCAGGGACAGAGGAGAGGATCACTCTGCACACGATCCCCGGGAGCTACCAGCACCCTGTTCCCAGCGACCACCCCACGGCAGGGTTAACGGTGCCTCCGAAAGCCCGGGGCCCTGAGAGCCGTCCCCGGACGGCCCGCCCTGAGCAGCACAACATCCGGGGCGTCTACACGCACCGCTTGGCGGTCTCGTGTTGATCAGCCCTGCGGCACGCTTTACCCTCCCCTCTGAGAAGAGCCAGGGCGGTAAGCAGCCCGCAGACATGTCCTGCGGCGAACGGACGAGAACGACGAGCATCTTGAGAAGCAGGCAGACCCACCTCAGGTACATGCCGATGGCGTATGCGCACAGAAACGAGTAGTCCAGGGCCCCGAGCAGCTGCTGGTAGTTGTCCTGGTCTACACAGGGTGAAAATCAGCAGGAAACAGTGAGTATGGCCTACTTCCACCAAATACCAGTCTGTGTTCTGGGGCCGGGTGATAAAGTGCACATGCCTGCTGTCTACACTTGGGCAGCAGACGCAGGAGGAGAAAGGGACGGTTTTGAACACAGGAAATGTGGCAGGACATCCGGTTGGCTTCTGGACAAAGGGAAAGAAAGTTGCCACATTCTCAAATAATCACTAACTAGACGTCATCTGGATTAGAGAAAATCCCCACTGTGCATGGGGAGCAGGTGGTTTTTTTATTCATTTTGCCTCCCGAGTTAATCTGGCTTTTCTGCAGCAGCCCCGGGCCAGCCCCCGCCCCACACCTCTGGGGGCTCCCTCTCCTGTTCAGCACGGTCCCCGCTCGGCAAAGCCTGGCTCTCAGCCCCGACAGATGCAAAATACAAGTCCTCTTGAGCAGATTTCCCCAGAAAGAGGATCTCCCGGGCGTCAGCAGGTGCCGCGGGCACAGTAGCTGCGGGAGGAGGCGAGCGGGTGGCAGGACAGAGCTGTCCCCGGACAGGCAGTCACGTCCGGGAACACCGTTAGTGCCGCCCACATCGGTGAGGCTGCCTGTCGCTTTCAGGACTGGCTGTCTAGCCACGCGAGAGGCCGCAGGACGGCGCGCGTCAGGATCGGGATGCACCGGGGTGGACAGACGGAGAACTCACCAAACGGGGCCCAGCTGCAGTCAGTCTCGTTGTCTGGTGGCTGGTGGCGGGGGGTGTCACTGGCCCTCTGGCTCTGGCTGCTCAATTCGACGTCCCCCTCGTTCAGTGCGGCACAGTACCTGTGGAGCTCACCCTAGGACATCAGCAGAGACAGCGTGCTCAGGCCAGGTTCAGGGGCTCGCGGCATTGGAACAGCCATCCCCTCCTTTCGGTCTTCCCAGGGCAACCACGCTCTGGGGGAGCGAGGCCCCCGCCGGGGCGGTCTGTCTGCACGACCCACCGAATGCCTGCGGTGACCGGGGCTGCTCGGGCCTCTGCCGCTCCCAGCCCCGAACTCACACACAGCCAACACAGGCCTGTGACGGTCGGGCGGCAGAGACGACCACGCAGCTGAGAGCTGCCTGCTGCCAGCCCAGCACCGCCTGCCACACTGCAAACACGGCCTCATCGTGCCAGATTTACACCCGAGTAAATGCCCCGCAAAGCCGGAGAGCAAGGCACAGGTCCAAGCAAAGAGGAGGATGAACCTCCCATCAGAAGAAGCCTGACGCGAGGAGCGCAAAGGGCAGACTCGGTCAGTCACTGGAGGACAGAACCTAGCCCCAGGTGGCAGCGGTGACACTCACTCACCAGCAGGAGGGCCGCGAAGGGGGCGGGGCACACGGGGCCTGCAGTGGGAGCTGGAAGGGGCCAGACCCTAACCTGGGGATCGTTCGGGCTTGCGCATATTTGCCAGGCTAGACGCTTCAGATCTGCGGGTGTCACCGTGTGCAAATCACGAGCCTCAGTAAGACAACAGGACAGCTGGGGCACAAGGCCACCGACCCACAAAGTTGTCCGCGGAGCCAGCACGCGGGCCAGGGGCAGAGGAGTGTAAGGCTCGGGAGCCCTCTGGCTGACAGGTGCAGGGGCCTAAGGAAGTCGCTCCCACCTGCCTCAGTGTGCCCGCCTGCAGACAGGGCTGGCCCCCCTCAGCCGCAGAACTTAGCGGGATTGGTGATGCTGTTCCAGGGCATGGATGCACCAGGGAGGGCCGGAGGAGTGGGCACCGGGGCTGTGTGCAGGGCACAGGGGACGCGGGGTGCTCCTTACAAGAGGACCTCCCCTTCCAGCAAAGGGCCCGTCTTGCTACGGGGAACCTCCACCTGTCTACCAGTCTGCCTTTCAGCCCCACAGTCCATGTCTCCCCTCCCCAGGCGCCCCTGCCGCCTGCTGTGCATTTTCTGGGTTTTTCTGCTCCCAGGGGCTCAGATGAAGTAATCCCCCAGGTGTGAGTGAGGGCAGAAAGGAGGCAACCACAAGGGCAGGGAGTGGCCCTTAGTGGGAGCAGGGCCCCAAGCGGCGTTCTTCACGGAGCCGCAGCGTGAAGGCAGGGGTCTGGGGTTCACGAGGAAAGCTGGCTCCAGAAAGAACAGCGGCCACATGTCCTGCCCACCGCCTCCTTCCCTGGCACCCGTCTCTTCCAGAGGGAGTCACCAAAGAGGCTCCTGCGAACGGCTGCCCTTGCCAGGGCTGTGGTCAGCCTGGGCTGGACGCCTCCTGGTTTTGCACGGACACACGCCACCGAGGCCTGGCAGGGCACATGGGACTCAGCCACTCTGTGGTCCCGTGGCTTGTCATCAGCACTGGGCGTTCTGCTAGCATTCAAACCTCGCCCTAAAAGTTCTCCACAGGCTCCGCTTTACAAACTCAGTCGAGTCTTTGCCAAGACAGCTTTCTTCTCACCCTCCCGGGGCCGGAGGCCGGCTGTGCTGGCCGGGATCTCGGAGTCCCCCTGCCCTGCACACAGCAGGCGGCCCTTCCCCATTCCCCCGGGTTCATACTTGGCTCCTCCTCTCCCCGCAGAAGTCACCCTTCCCTGGGCCAGACCCCGTGCCTCACCGCCCTCGCTGTCCATCCGTCGCCGAGAGAGCAGCAGGCAGGCCGGGCGCTGACCCGCCTGCCGAGACGGAACGAGGGAGGAGGTGGCTGTGGGCCACGGCTCCAAGCGGGGCTTCCACATCCCCTGGGACCAAGAAAGATGAGGAAGGATCCCTTCTTGTGCCATAAACAAGCAGAAAAGGGTTTCATCTTGGTTGTCCTGTGATGAGGGGGACTCTGAGCGGGGACTCTGGTGCCACGGGGCTGGCCTCCCGCTTCTCCCCTGGACTCTCAGAGGGCACAGCGACTTCCCCAAGGCAGGGGGCCCCCCACTCACTCCAGCCTCCGGCGGCTGCGCCGAGCCCTTCCCCAGCCCGCACCCTTCCCACCGGAACCGCGATCTCCACCCTCCGGGCGGCTGAAGGGCTGCAGGAGAGCCAGCAAAGACCTCACACTGGTCCCGAGGATGCTTGTTTCTGTCGCCACGTGCTGGCTGTCAGCCACCAGCTTTATTCCCACACCCGGTGTGTGAGGGAAAGTTAAGGATGAATTAGGCCAAGAGGATCTGATCAGAAAAACCCTCAGCAGGGGAACGGGTTCATACCCTGGTGTGACAGCGACGGGGGGCTAGTCCTTGGCCCTTGCCAATTTTTACGCGAATGTTTCCACAGGTAACAAAATTAATGGACGTGTGACACCAGGCGGTCATTAAAAGCCAAGCAATCAGGAGACTATGTGGCCTGGAGGCTCCAGGTACACGACCCTCCAGGTTATTTACCGCTGCCCACGTGCCACACGGCGGGACAGCAACAAAGTACACAGCAGGTGCCACGGGGATTGGAAGGTGGGGGCGGG